TGTATTGTTCGATACATATGCGTACCGAACCGAAAGCACTGTATCGAACGGTTCAATATCGATACGAGTATCGTTGCACCCCTAATATGTATGTATATGTATATGTATGTATACGTATATATAAAATATTTTTTTAACCATACCAGTCACTGTTTAGAAAAAGTGCTTAATTACCTTTTCAAGCAACGTGGATTACTGGCATTTCTCATTAGCCTCTTGAACCTTAAGATGATTTTATTTAAACTGTAAAGCCATGTAGCAACATGAGATCTTTTCTTTGGGGGGGGTAGGTATTCGGTATACAGGTGTTACTTACATTAAAACCTGACTATTAATGGTTTTGCTGGCTGTATTTCAGTATGCTTTGGAGGACATCGACCCACTGATTATAGAGCAGCGCAGGATCAATATAAGCTAAGAATACATAGATTGGGTGGCAAATCTCTCAACAGACCTGCCAAACACCCGCTCTCCTTCATTCCACCTCCCCCCATTCACTCTCCGCCATGTTTTAAACAACAAGATGAGAAGACCCATAATTGACTGTGATCTGTTCTCCCATTAGAATAAAAGACGGATCAATTGCACCATTTCTTTCATTCAAGCTCTCATTCCTTCTCTATTTTAAGGGTGATGGGACAGATGGGTGTAGTGAGCAGAGACAAAAACACATCAGCCATCCTCTTTGATGCTAAATCAAAGCCGGTGGAATGCAAAGGAGTGCTTTTTTTCCAACACAGTGAATCAGCAAAACAAAGATGGTGGGGCACAGGTTTCTTTATTGCTGCCATGCTACTTCCTGCTTGAGCTACTAATACTATTATAACAGGAAGAAAACAAGCAATTAAAACCGTTGGTGGTTAGAGTTACAAACCCATAATATGCCTTAATTGAGTATAGGATTAAGAGCCGTAAAAAGGAAGGAGACAGCAACAAGGAAGGGAAGCGCATATATGCACGTAGGTATGTTATTTGAAATGTCCACTGTAAAGAATCCCTTAAAGTTTGTCATCATTTAACACAAATATTGAATAGCTGTCTTTCAGAATCAAGACTACTATCAGGAAATGCATAGTTTCTTTTTACGATTTGTCTTGCCTGGTAGCATTTGAGTTTTGTTTTGGGACTCATTATTCATTTGTATACAAACTAAACAGAAATAAATTAAAGTCTAGTAGTAGATTTTCCTTTTTAAAATGGTCTTCTCACGTCTTGCTCTCCTTTAGCGATTCCAGGTGTGTACCCTGCCTCTTGCTCTATAACACTTTTTAACATATGTTAACATTTCCCAGACATGGAGTGTGTCCAGATTTTAAACAAATACTTGTAATACTGATGATTAATGATCCATCAGCTTTAGCTGTTTGATCAATATTAGCAAATATTAGCCAGAAGACTAAACTCACAGCTACTCGCAGGGCTTGTATTGTTAGAAATCCTGTTTTTATGTACCCGGTATAAACAGCACATCTGTTGTTGTCTATGAATCTGGCAGCCTTGCAAAATAATATCTCAAGAAATCATACACTCTAAAGAAGTCCTTCATCTCCTAAAGCCTCTTCATTAAACCACACTTTGTGTGACTATGATTAAAATGCCATATGTGGATACAAATGAAAAACATTCACATTTTAGCACCTGTGTGAATGCTTACAAGCTGCTTTTTTACTGATGCACAGAGGTAAAAGACAAGGTGCCATTTTTACATTGAAAATGTTAACTACTAGAAGGGGAAAAAATCCAAGGCATCCCACAAATGTCACAGACGTGTCATTAACTACAGCTACTTTAGAAAATGCTATCTTTATTTTGATTGCTTCTCTCCTATTGATCACTCTGAGCTAAAATCAATAAATACTTAATCCAAACCATCAACATATCTATTAGACATGTCTATTAAGGCTTATCATTGAACTAGCAAATAAAATCTGCCAATTGAAAAACGATTATTAATAGACTATGTACCACAAGTTTTTAAGGTGGCAGTAATAAAATCATTAATTGAAAAGCCTTTAACTGACCAGGCATTTTAGCCTGTTATGTACAGATTTCCAGCCTTTGTTTTACTTCTAAAGTTCTTCAAGATCAACTATGTGAGAGGGAAGGATTTACTTGAAGTATTTCAGACAGGCTTTAGATTGTATTATAGCACAAAAACAGGACCAGTAAAGGCCAAAGATCTTGTCATGGACTCTCTGTGCTTGTCCTGCTTGATTGCAGTGCTGCATTTAGAATACAGCATTGGGATTAAGGAAGTTGCACCGACTTGGTTAGAATTGTTCGCATCTGAAAGATTCCAACTTGTTTAAGAAAGCGTAGAGTCTCCCTAGACACAAAAGTCATCTGTAGAGTTGCACAGGGTTAAGTCTTAGAATTATACATTCTTCATTTAAGGGAATTTGTAGTAAATTTGTAGTAGAAAAAAACTACACACATTTTAATTGCTATGCAGTTGTTAGAGATAGGTGATTAAAAACATCAAGTGGCTAAACTACAGGTATAACTTAAAAACAGTAAGGAAAGGGTGGCCTGGTATTTATTACTACTTAGTTCAGACAAAATTGAAGTTTCCATGGTAAACACTATGATTACATGTGCATCTGTAAACATGATAGCTCAAAAAGTTTAGAATGAATTCTGATAAAACATTGCAGGGGTGTAGAGTGGGCGCATGTTAGTAATCCATTAAAATTAGCCTCAAATGCACAAAGGTCTTTAAGGTCAACTTAATGATTTATTGGTTGAAAATCGACATAAAGCCTTATAATTTATAAACTAGGATTCTTACAAGTGTGGTGTGTATTGTCAACATATGGAAAGTACCATATAAAGGTTTAAAAACCTCACACATTTCACCTCTGACCTCTCCTTCAAGGTCAATGAATTGATCTGAAGGCAAACGTAATGTTAATACTATATTGAACTATTAAAAAAGTGTTTCTTACTGCCATTGTATGTATTGACAACATATAGGCATATAGAGGATGATAGATGGGGATTCAGAAATAGCCCTTTATATTTTTATGACTTAAATATCGATTATAACCACTTAAATTCATTATAATTTGAATGGGGAAACTATGTTCCTGAATTACTGTTATCACAACTGTTTCTTTTGGAAAACCAAATAAACTTTACGTAATTTTTTCATTTGGTAATTATTGCTAAACATTTAAACTAACTTACTAAATACTTAAATACATGCTATACACATATATATCCACATAAGTAAAAAAATAAAAAAGTGTATTAAAATGGGTTTCAATGGGGCAAATAATAAAAGCTTGCACTTTGAATTTGTCTATGTGCTACAAACTTCTGAAAGCATGTCTAAAAAGAAAGTCCTGGGTTCATATCCGATTGCATGGGTTCTCTTTGGGTACTCTGGCTTTTACAGTCCAAAAACACGCATGGAGTTGGGTTACGCTAACTTGAGAGTGAATGGTTGTCTGTATGTCTGGGACAGAGTGGCGACTTGTCTTCTCACCCTGTGGCAGCTGAGATAGGCTATAGTCTCTCTGAAACCGTGATAGGTGCTGTACAGAAAAATGCAGCACAGACTTTATTCAATCAAAAATATAGTACGTGACAGAATCTTATGGAGCATGCAATACATCTAAAATAAACATTTCAGTAAGCTCGCCACTTGGCTTCACCTTGCTTTATTTTCTACCCCCTGCCCCCAGAAATGTAGAAGAAAAAAAAATTAAACCACGAATGTAATCAGTGATTAGCCTCTGTGAAACCATATCTATAAAACAAGCCTCAGTACCTTTTGTTAATGCCATTGCTCAGACAGAATGTGTTTTTCATAACATTGATGTAATCAGAGTAAATGCCTCGAGCAAATACTGCCCGGTTATTTTCGGAATTGTTTGTAGCAACATTGCATTTCTATAAACATGTGCAGTGATCCAGCTAATGGAGTAAAAGCATACCCTGGAGGTGCAAAATAGGCCATAGTCTACCATATAATGTCCATCTTATTGACACTGTTTTTACCACCGGACCATGAAGACATCTCAACCGAGGACAGTTTTCAAGAAAAGGGATACATTGTAAATATAATGTATCTTTTTTTCTTGGAAATTGTCCTCGGAAACCCCCCCCCTCAGGAAACTTTTGCCTGGAAGGTTCATAAAGGCTGGGCACTTGTGTCAGGGGTTGAAAACAAACACTTTACAAAGAGACTGTCAACAGAGCATTAACTGATTCCTCTTCTTCTATGCGCCATGTCAGTGTGCCATTTCCTCTGCATATTGGCTGTACAGAGCTATGCATTTTTCATGAGGCTTAAAACAGAAATTGCATTCTGTCTGTTTTATTAGCATCTTAATCCTTTTTCACTATTGCTACTTGTGCCTCGGTTTTTGAGGCGTGTGCGGTCTTGATATAGAGACTTCACATGCCTCATCTGCTGCTTTTAGAAAGTGTCTCTTGCAATTTTGAGCGGTCAAAGCAAAATGAAATAAAAACTAAGACGCCGTTTAAACGCGCAGGTGTTTTTGTCTTACTTGTGTACATGCCACATATAAACACACAGCATTCTTTGCAACACCATTGATCTAATGGACTGTGTTTTCACTGCTAGTTTAGATTTTTATTTGAAATAAATAACACTCACCTCCTAAAGTAACGGCTTACTTCAAAGAGAGCCTTGTTGTCAAGTTTGTAAAGCTCTTTTTTCTTCAATAATCATGCAGAAGATGAAAGCTGCTGTATGAATTCAAATTTAATTTGTTCAGTCATCCATTAAAACGGTTTCTCTGTCTCCCCTGCCACCAGTCCATCCCCTCTCCTTCAGTGTCTCGCGGTCTCTCTGCCTCTCTCTCTCTTACACTCTAGAAAGCTGTGTGGCAAATTGGAGCTCCGGCATTGAATGCCAATGAGTAAAGGGGAAAAAATACATATTGAGGGCACAGTGAACTTAAGCAATTAAATTAAAAAGTTATTAACTTTGGAATGAGGGACACTGCTCCCTTTCCTGTCACTGCCTGCAGCCAGAGGCTTCAGAGTTCAAGGAAACAGGGAAAGAAGACGGGAGAAGGGAGAGAAGAAGACAAGTGGAGGAAAAAAGGAGGAAGAAAAGACCAGAGAGATTTTAGAGGTGAGGGTGGAGGTTGTAAGCCCCTGAGCAAAGATGCATTTTAAAGCTGTGTGTGGTATGTTAATAATAATAAAAAACAACTTTACTATGTGCGGTCAGATACATGTCTGTGAACCTGCCCATTTGATCATTACACGCTTATTGTCTTAGACAAAGGACTGGCTTTTTGCCACTCTCACGCGCCAGAGCCTAAGTCAGCATCATTGTAGCATTGTGGACTAAAATTCCAAGGGAGTGAGAATCAAAGTTAATTAAGCTTTTGCTGTGCTTTGCACAAATAATAAGTTTTGGGCTGACTACTAATTAACCCTGAGAAACCGCTTCCTTTCAGTAGACTAAGTGATATTTGGAACTATATCTGCTTTTTTTTTTCTTACACAATTAACACTGTTCTACCGAGCATTACTAATTACTCTTCCGTATAATAATGGTCGTGTACTCTATGATAAATGGAAGAGTATTTGCTTTTAATGTGTGTTAGAATTTTAAAATGCTAAGAATTAATTTAAGCATTTGATCATTTATGAGTGTGTTGAGTTGGAGGCTGGGATTTAAAATCACTGAAATACCAGCCTGGCCCCTCTGTAGTAAAGGCATGTGTTTCAGTATAAATGACTGCTAAGTAGTGTTAATCATTTACTTATTAATTTTACAAAGCGGCTGGTCCAGTAGCCCCTAAAGTTTTGATCACATAAAAATGTTTCTCCACAGTAGACTGTATATAAAATATGGCAGTACTTCCTGTGCTGTCACCATTCAGTTTTGATACCTGTCATTGTGAAGCCTTAACTGTGCCTTTAAGGATGCTGTTTTTTTTGTCTTTCTTTTTTCTTTTTTTGAAGTCATATTTATCTAAGTTATCAAATAATGCTAGCAAGATTGAGAAACAGAGTGCATCTATAGACTATGTAAACTAGGAGCATCACAAAGATACTGACTAATCCTAATTACAGCTAAATAACAAACAAATAGCTGAAGCACAAGCTTCTTGGATGGCCTTTTAGTACAGTTGACCCCATAGAAAGCTGTATTATTTGACAGATAATTGCGTTAAAATGCAACAACAGGCACCAGCACCACTAACATTTCACTTGCATATCTCAAATTAGCTTAGGTGACGCCAAGCACAGAACTAGTAGCTAATTCTCAGCTGAACCCAGTTCTGCTCCAGCAATGGGGAAAATAAAAGATAGTGACAAAAGCTTTTTTTCTTTTTTCTTTTAATGTGTGCATTTTTATTGTAAATGCTTTTCAGCCTAGAGGTTGCCACTTGACAAAAACAGACCTAAAGCATTAAAACAACAAACTATATATCCTATTTGTGGATAAATTAGCAGCAGATGACCCGTTTCCCTTTCTGCTGTGGGGTTTAGCATTGCTATCCCCGCAGCCTTAAACAAACAATAGCATGCTTGAAAACTCTCAGCATCAGTTTTCATTAAGGAAGCCTTCAACTATTTTGAGTGTAAGTCAAGAAAAAGAAATCTTTTCCTTGTGACAGAAAATGTGCAAGATGCTATAAATAGTGTTTCGTACAACAGACTCAAAGACTTTCAGACGACTGCTTGTTTTCATTTATGTATGTGGCCTTTTTTACATTTTTTTCGTGAGCTGTGCATCAGGGAGAGTTTTTTTTTTTTCATTACAAGGACATTATGAAGGCATCACACCCATGAGATAAGCCAACTCTAGACAAGCGTATCATGGATGACAAAGTAGAAAAAGATGAAGATTCAAAGACATTTTGTAAGCATATTGCAGAGGATGTGTGATATTCTGTCATATCTGATCCCCTGTGCTCCCAGCTCCTGTCAGAAGCCACGGATGAAAATATAGTCATATTCAGGTAGCGTATTGCAAAGTGAAGAATGAGCATCGGTGTTCTCAATGCATCAGGGTCATAAAGCATCATCCCAAAGCACATTAGTCTGTAGAGCCGAGTCAAGCAGGGGCAAAAATCGATAAAGCAAGTCTCAGAACAATAGCATGCACGCAGTTCTGCCACATTTTAGTTACTCTTACTACCAAATATCCTCAATAGGTTGCAAAAGCACAGAACCCTATGGAAATCTGAAGTGTACTAGAACGATAATACTGGCGGAAAGGAACATATGAAGACAAGATACAGAGACATGAAGAGACGTTTCAGGCAAGAGGTGAATGAGTTTGTCCTCGCCTGGTGACAGATGCAATTCTGAGTTGTCAGTTACAACCTTCAGTTGGTTGCTCTAATTAGAAGAAAAGAAAAAAAATCTTAAAAAGGAAGTGTTAATTACAGGTTTTTACATTCTTTACCACAAGTTGCACTTTGCTGACCCCAGTTGAAATAGTCCTCTTTATAGCATTTACTGACACAGCTGACCCACGTTTGGTAGTCATACTGAGACCATTTATTGCAAAATCAATCAGGAGCATGTGCAATGCATTCACACCAGATGCTTCAAAATGGGGACTGTGACCACTTGATGCCACAGCAGTATGTCTCTTGGATCTGGAGGCACTAACCACGCAGGTGGTCTAAATCCCAAGATTGTCTCCTTTGAAATAGGAGGATGCTGGACCTGCTGACAGCACAAGAAAGCCCCCCAGAAGCAGCTCCTCTAAAGATAATTTAGTTATAAACTTTTACTGCAGTGCTGCTCAGGCTATTTTAAACTAAGAAACATCACAGAAGGGACCTGTGAAGAGAGCCTTAGAGGGTTCAGGCATGTCACCTTTTTTTCCATTTCTTGCTATCTCCCAATTAACCATTTTCTTCTGCTGAACCATGACTAATACCTTACTCTGGTTTTTACATGCTAACTATGAAGAGGCAGAGGAATAGAAATTTTCTCAATGTGCACTGATACTATATTGATTCCAATCAAGTGTTTTTGGAGCCATTTTTTATACTCTTAGAGACTCTTCAGTCCGCAGATCTTTTAATACAGAGGATGCAAAACTCATTTTAAAACCAGTGTAGTCAGGGCTGGCCAGATCATCAAATTATTAAAGAACAACCTACTGAAAATGTTTACATATATTGAGCCATCCATTTATGAAACAGTTGAGGAAAAAGCTACAGAAAGGTACACTTTATAAAATTACAATATTAATATTTCGTTCTTTTCCATATTCAGTCAGTCAACAGCATGGCTACTTTTCTGATCAACCAATGTGTATATGTGCCATTTGGTACACCATGGGAAACCTCAAGCCACACCCATGTTCTGTGCGTAATCGGTACACGTGTAAAGACTATAGTATACATGGTTATGATGCTATCATGTTGCCAGAAGAAGCCAAAAATGGTCAAAAGAGCTTAGTAGTAAGTCTTGCTATTTACTAGGTCTCTCCAAAACCATGATTCCACACAGACTCAAAGAATAAAAAGAACTGTTGTTGGCAGCATATGCAAATTAACACTAAAAAGCAACCTACAGTTAGCAACACACCTTTAGCTGTTGTTGGTGCACATGTCAATCATATGTTAAACCTGCTCCAGCACTACAGAAAATTTGAATGATACATCCACAGTAAGGCATACATGTCTGTAAAGATTTTCTGTAATTCAGTCATGTAAGTATAACGTTCACTTCAGAATTTGATAACAAGGCATTTGTAAATGACACAGTTTTATGTTTAATCGTCTAAAATTGGCAGAGTAATGTACTATGTGGTAAGGGGTGCATGGATGGTAAAATGCATGGTACATGAGATTAAAAAATGAATGAATGAACTCTTCACACATGTTTTTAGTCTGAGGCTCATCCGCTCCAATCTCCTTGTCTCCCATTGCCAGACTTCAAAGACATCTCTGGGGAGAAGCTTCAAAACATTAAGCATGCAGGCTTCCTCAGGACTCCCACAGAGTCCCAAACTAGCCAAGAAACAAAAAAGAAAGTTTCTCTCCAGCTATTTGTTTTAAAGTTGTTCTGTTAAAAAAAAAAAAGAAAAGAAAACGTCATTTGCTCTCTCTTTACCTGGCCTCGCTTTTATCTTGCACCCACTATTGTACTTCCCGTTAGCTTTTCCACTGTTTGTGTTATCCCTCTTTACCTTCTTTTCCCACTCTTGCTTCATCCTGCCTGTACCTTTGCAGTAGTCTCAAACAGAAGAGCTTAAATCATATCAGTGGTGGGAGCTTTGCCAGTGCCATCCATTATACTGAAGCAGTGCTGCAATGTTGTCTCTTTTCTCATGTTTTTTTTTCATATTTTCAGCTTTAGTCTCCATTAATCCCCTTTTTATTCAGCCCTCTTTGTGACATTAACTCAATTTCTTACACCATACTCATTATCTCCCCATCATATCTGCTCTCCCTCTGCTGTTACACTGTAGTTTTCTTGACCATATCTTCTTTCCAACTTCCTCTCTTTTCTTTGCTGTCAACATTGCTGTTTTATATATCTCACTCTTTACCCCTTTCAACTGAAGCCCAGTGTCTTTTTTTTCTCTTGCCAACCTTCTTGGTCTGCTTTCTTGTGTCACCAAGAGTGGGCAGCAGCCAGCAGACTTCCCGACAATGGTTCTCTTACATTGATTTCTTTTTCTTTTCCTTTTGGCTAACCCTGTATATCTTTCTTCTTCCCATATCATTTCCTTTTTTTTTCTTTTCCAGGAATGGGTGACAGCCACTGACCTGCTCATCTCTTTGGACAGGCTTAACACCTTTGGAGATGAGTTTTTCAAGGACGCTAAAGTGCTGCGCTCGTACTTCTATGCCATCTCTGATTTCTCTGTGGGTGGCAGGTAGAGACACCAGAAAATGTGGTGCCAAAGCAATGTCACCATGCTTGATACTCTCTGAAATAATAAATGTTGGAACTAGTGTTGCTTAAGCAATTTTGATTTTTCGACTTCACTAGCATCTCTTTTTAAGGGAGTTATATAGTACCAAATGGCCAAATGTGTTTTAAAGTAAACTAATTCCCTGGCTGAGGTGTTTACGGGTAGGTGGCTGGGCATGCAAAGCACAGATTTTACCCAGTATATCATAAGTTGATCAGTTTTAAGGTTTTATGTATCAGGACATGATAAAATGCATTTGGTTTCTTAGCAGGTCTTCAAATGAAGTAAATACGACCTCAGATGAACAAGTTGCACCTAGCTTATTATCCCGTGTCACTATTCATTTAACAAAATGCAGAAGCACTGTTTGAAAAACTAGGTCTATGCCATGATTCAGTAACCCTTTCTATGGTCCACTCATCTTAACGATGTTGTTTCAGTTCACTGAGATTTCTAGGTAGTCATTTATTCACAGCTCCCTGTAGCTGCTGCCAAAGCAGTTAATCAGGTTGAAGTTTGATTGCACCTTGATTTTCTTTTTTCTTTTTCAGCCATTCTGTTGTAGATTTGCTGTTATGGTCAGTACTAATGTTTTGTTGTATGATCCAATTCGGGCCAAGCTAAAGTTGTCAGATGTCACATTTAACTCTAGAACACTCGTGGTATACGAGGAGTTCATGGTTGACTCAATGAATGCTAGGTGTCCAGGTCCTATGGCTACACAACAAACCCAAATCATCACCCCTCCACCACCAGGAACACTGCAGCTCCACTTTTTGTACAAACTAGACGAGTCTTCCAGAGGTCCTGTGGTTTTCTCAGATGCAACTTTGCAAACCTAAGCCATGCTGTGTTGTTCCTTTTAGAGAGAAGAGGCTTTCTCCTAGCAACTCTTTCCAATCAAGCCATCAGTCTTTTTCTTGTCACGAACTTTAGCATTTAACATGCTAACTGAGGCTTGTAGTGTCTGAGATAAGCTTTTCACAGTCTGACCTTGAGGTGAATTTATTGGGGCATCTGCTACTGGGGAGACTGGCAACTGTCTTGAATGTTGTGGCTTGTAGAAATCTTTCTCACTGAAAATGGTGAACTTAAGATTGTTTGGAAATGGTCTTTTAACGCTTCCTAGATTGATGGGCAACAACAATTGCTTCTGTAAGATCACAGCTGATGTCTTTCCTCCTTAGCGTTGTGTTAACACACCTGAATGCTCTGGACCCACAAACTGCCGAAATTTCTGCTTTTGCTGATGATCAATTCATCATATGCCTTTGATTAGCAACAACTGGCTGCTACTTACCTTCTTAATTTCTATGAAAGCAGTAAGGGTGTGCCTTTTCAAACACTGCTTCTGCATTCTTAAATGTTGTTAATTAAATAATTTTACAGTGTATTTATTCATCTGAGCTTGAATTTACCTAATCTAAAAGCTTACTAAGAACAAGAATTTTACTATGCCCTGATACATAAAACCCTTAAACTTTTCTTTTTACTGTACCATGACTCTGTGTGGCCATGGCAAGATAACATGCTGAACCTATATTCTGTCCTGCTTTCTGCCTGTCAAGTTGGCATCAAATGAAAGTAAACCAAGATAATTCTCAATTCTCCTTCCACATCCTCGGGTTTATTACTCATAGTAATGAAAGGGGACATGGTACCAAAGACCAGGCTGCACTGCACCTTGGCAGTGCAGATAGAACCAAACGATTAAGCAGCTGAGATGAAGCCCTCACAAAGAACGCAAAGTTGATCTGACATCTGTCATAAACACTTAGGATCTTTCAGCTGGATGACAAATTACCCACCAATGTCACAGCACGTGGGTAAGAGAGCCACATGGCCATTAGCCATATACTGGTGCTTTCTGCCTAAGTACACGTGTTTTTACACCACACGCTACAGGTCAAGTCAGCAAGCCAAATGCTATTAAAAAATCCTCCAGGTTTTCTACAATATATCAATAGTGCAAAAAGAGCTGTGGTGGCTTTAAGGTAAGAAAAACAAGCTTACGACCAGAAGGTCGCTAGTTAAAACCTTGGACCCTGGACGGGAAAGTGAGAAAACAGCACTTTCCTCTGTCTCATCAAAGAAAGGCCCTTAACCTCAGGTGCTCCAGCGGAGGTGCTCAGTGGTCAGCAGGGTATGCTTAAGTTATATAAGGAAGCTTCGGGGTCTAACTTTGTCAATGTGAAGACAGAATTTAGTGAATATATTTTGAGTATAGCGAAATAAAGTAATGTTGGAAACAACCCACTCATGAGACAGATGTCTAAATATCTATGAGAAAATTTAAAGTGCACACATTACATGCTGCCAGTATATTTCAGATCAACACTCTCAAATTCACACCTCACTTCTAGCAGTCTAATATGTAGATCGGAAGCACCTCAGAGACAACGGAAACGAATGGGTGTGAGCCTCAGGCAAGCATACATCTGGTTCTGGGACAGCTGGCTAAATTTGACACAGCTTACCACTCAGCGACAAGTGCCTGTACCCCTGTCACAGCCACTTGACAAACCCAGTGACACTGCCAGGAAATAGTGCACACAGGAAGGCATATCTGTCATCATGCTTCAGAGGAAATAATCCACAGGCAGAGGGGAAGGAAATTAGCAGATAACAGTCTTATGAAAACTGAACTAAACAATCACGTTTAGCTCACAAATATTGACTTTTAATTTTGGAAGTTATTATAATTACTGAAGACGCAAAATTTCATTTATAAATTAAAAAAAGAAAAGCATAGAGTTAATGCTTTTGCACATACTAACACAGTTACCAACAGTGCGTTACTGTAATCCGATTACTTTTTTCAAGTAACGCATAAAGTAAGGGATTACTATTGCAAAAACGGTAATTAGATTACTGTTACTTTCCCATAGGAACGCTGCGTTACTGCGTTACTAAAACCGTTTTTGCGAGAATGTCTCATGACAGTGACGTAAGCGAGTGCGACGTTCGTGACAACAGCTGTGTGCAGATCAACAATGGATAATATATCGAGTGCGGGAGAGAGTATGAGAGTGCAGCGTTTAAAGCGTGGAAGTACTGACCTTACTTTGAGTTTGATTCCATAAAAAGTGACAAAAACATTAGTGTGCGCTGTGCGTGGGAAGAAAACTTCTTTTTACAGCGAAAAAAAACCCCTAAACTTCCAAGCAAGCACCGAGTGCGCTACGACGTAATGGGAAATTCACAGAGAGTCTTCAACTGACCGCTGCGGCACACCTGCACCAGGGCAAATCTCCGCCTGCTATACAGATGAAAATAGAGCAACAGGACGGCTAGTCTTTGACTTTATTTCTTTTCTGCTGTGTTTTACTTGCATCTATTTGAAAGAGTCAGTGTAAACACTATATATATATATATATATATATATATATATATATATATTTTTTTTTTTATGTGCTGGAATGTGCAGAAAATAGGTTTAAATGTTGAACAAATTTCTTCCAGTCAGAGAATGTTGCATATAATTAAATCTTTGTTTGATGCATAAAGTTAAAAGATTAAAACTAATAAGAGAAGTTTTAAAAAGATACTTTTCCATTTGATTACATTTTGTATGATGGATTATGCAGAAAAAGTAGAATCGGGCTGAAAGATCTATCGTTTATACCTATTCAGGTTGTAAATCGTGTTTTTAAAAAGTAACTAAGTAACTAAGTAATTAATTACTTTTGAAAATAAGTAATCAGTAAGGTATCAAGATTACTTTTTTGGGGAAGTAATCAGTAATTAGTTACTGATTACTTTTTATAAGTAGCTTGACCAACACTGGTTACCAATATTAGAGATACTGCACTCACTTGTTGCTGTTTGTGATACACTGGGTGAGTGTGAGTGTATTATTAGTGGCATATTAACACAGTTGAAAAGTGTAGTTGCTGAAGGGGAATAAAAGCCCTGCCTCACCCCAGACCACGTTTTCATCGGTGAAGGATAATAGAAAGTGACAACTTCTTACGGGGGAACTACCTTCCCGCTTTCCTTCCGCCTTCAAATTCATTCACTGTGTGCATAACTGTGTCCAAATTTGTGTGAGTAAAAAGAGGAGGAAAAACAGAGACAAACAAAAGCTTGTACATGCAGACTTTACCTAACTATGATGTTTCCCTCAGATGTAAGTGTAACGGCCATGCCAGCGAGTGCATTGAGCGAGAACATGGTAACCTGGTCTGCGCCTGCCAGCATCACACAGAGGGAGCCGACTGCCAGAGATGTCACCCCTTTTACCAGGATAGACCCTGGGCCAGGGCCACTGGGGACTCTGCCAATGAGTGTTTGAGTGAGTAGCTTGATCCAAGGGTGACACTGTGAACCCACTGGTGCAGCCATCTGGAAAATACACGTGCCAGTGTTAAATTCAAATGACATTCTCAGGCTGTCAGAGATCCCACTTAATCCATCAGTGTGCTACCTCACATCAATCCCCAGTATTTCTTAAATCTCGATATGTTCACATGCACCTTTTGTCTTTTATTGTGCGAGTTAGTAAATACAACCACTCATCACTGTTGGGGAGGATAAAAAGCACGTAGTCTGGAAGTCCTCGTGGAAATCACTGAACTTTACTGATCTTCATTATGCTCTAGGCTGAATGATTTTTTATTATGCTGAACTCAGCTTTACACATAATTTAACAATACGTCTGCCACCGCAGATGACCTTTTTTTTTTTTCTATTTTTGTGTGCAAAAGTTGCCAGTAAAGGAAATAATCTGATGTATTTAAAATTGTCTGATTGCAGAGCCAAACAGCTGAGAGATCCCTGGAAGATTTGTGTATATTTGATTTTTGGCTCATATGCACAAATGTTTGCAGGCATTCTCCCACCGTTGCTTCTGTATATGTGATTTAGCTGAGTGTTATCGGGTTTGGCTCGTCAGACCATGCATTCCAGCTGAATCCTGCTGACGATTAACCCTTCTTTTTTTCCCCTGAATTCTATTAAGCAGCAGACTTGCTCTAATTACTCTTGCACTTGCTTCCGAGCAGATGGCATCTTAAATAGACTTCTGCACCCAACTTAATCAATTCTGTGCATTACTATAGACACCTTATAAAAGCACCAGAGAATGCGAAAGTGCAAAAAACCAAATGCTCATTGTAATTGTTCATCTCTGTCTGGCAGAAGATTCATTTTGACTGAGTTTGCCCCAGCCAACGCCGAAACAGTAATCACTGCTTTTAACTACTTGTGATTACAATCAGCAAATCAAAATCAACATACACTAAATACACAGAGTCATGTAAACAAAAAAAACAGGGTTTTTGGTGTTTAAACTAATTTCTGACAAAATTATTTTATTAAACTTCATCATCAAAAGGCTGGACAGTCTACATAAACATATGTAGTGTTGTCGAATGGAAGAGGTTCAAACATAAGGTCTGTGGGCCAGAATCGGCCCAAAAAAGACTCCAACCTGGCCCACTGGACAGCTGTGGAAAATGTGAAGGAGGACATAAATTTTGGACTATTAACAGCATTTTCATAAACAACTTATTGTACTGACAAACACCTCACCCACAGCCATTCATACTACATTAATAAAGTAATAAATAAACAATTAAATGACAAAAAAAATTCCTGTACTATAGAAACGTCTGTTTGTTTTACAGTGTGTACACAGTTAAATCAATAATGAGAATTTTCTTTGAATGAACAGAAACTTGCCACTTTATGATTACAGGGCAGTCTTGGCAATGAGATATCAGACTTTTCAGTAATTTTACACATGAATTTCTTACAGTTTAAGCCCAAAGAGTCATGCTGAGTCTTTCATTTACTATAGTGTTTCTTTATCATGTAGAAAAACTGAGACAGTCTATTGAAGTAACTCTTCTTTTACTTATTTTGAGATATCTCATGGATTAAACTTGTCCGGCCCACTTAAGATCAAAGTGGGTTGTAAGCAGGCCCACGATGCAAAATCTTGTTAGAGTCTGTAAATGAAGGACTTACAGGGTAAGTTTCCTTTAAAATATATTACCCCATAAACTAAAAAACATGCCTTATTATACGAGCTATAAAATAATATAGGCTGCAGTACAAAGTTTAAGATTTAGTGTTTTATCTCCAGTTTTATGACTACATAAAAACGTCCTTTCCTCAATTATGATAATTTTACATAAAACACTGTAAGTTTTGATATGATTCACTGGCAGGCATTGGGTGTTATATATATTTTGTAATTTATTAGCCATGCAACCCATTATATTAGCAAGGGCAGTGTTTGGATTTGCAAACATTCATAGCGACATGTAGACTGGCGTGTGTTAACAATATGGATCATTTCAGAGAATTTAGATGTATTCTTGTTAAACACATTTTTCTGCATTTATTGTGGATGTATAATGTATCCATCCATCCATCCATCCATGGATTGAAATCTATCCCTGCTGACACTGGACAAGAAATAGGGCACACCCTGCGGGTCAGCATTCAGTCAAAGGCCTGACACATACTATAGAGGCAGGCAACCATTTACACCCCTATTCACACCTAAACGTTGTAAATCTAACTTGCATGTCTCGCGTGTGGACAGTGAGAGGAAACTGTAGCATGCAGAGGGAACCCATACAGGCAGAGAGAGTGCCACATCATTTTATTGATGATGATGGTGATTGATGTGGTCATTGTTTAAAGACTGCTATTAAAAAAAAATGTTTTTAATGATTATTAGTTTTTTCTAGTGGTACTAGTAGTAAGCCAGTTTTCCAACTTTTTCTAAATCAGCAGGTAGTAAAGCTAAAATGATAACAACAGAAATTTGTTTCTCAATAGACTTTAATGTAAAAGGTTTTCATTATCTTAATATAAATTGATTAGCACACAGCAGCTGCTGCTACTAACAGAGCAAAAACATAGTAACACAAAGATATTAAAGTTATGTTTGTGGCCCATTTAAAAATTAGCTACCCAGATTATACAACGTCAGTTTAAGAAAAAATGAACAAAAAAACATCCAGAAGACTCTGGTGAGTCAAGCATCTCTTTTAATTGATATTTTTACACAGATAATCTTTTAGAACTGAAAATAAACTGCACCAGATGAGACCTTTAAAGATTTTTTAACTCTTGAAAGCTAACAATACGGCAATAATAAAGACAAAACATGAATTTTTTAAAACAAACACCAAGTGACACCCAGTTAATTAACTTCCTATTTTCTGCAGTCACGTCTTTAACATAATTAACTTGTAGCTTCATATCATATATGATCATCTCAGAAAATCCAATTTATTAAATTTGTCTCTTAATCATTGCAGTTTTTGTTTGTGAGCACACGCAATGGGTTTGAATGAAGGATCAGATTCCTCAAAGGCTTTCCATTTCAGCACAAGATAAAGCACTGCAGTGTTAAGTAAACGATTACCCACATTTACCAGAATGCTTAAAACAACACGAATAAGCACAAGTACAGTCATTCCAAATAACCCAGTGCTGACCCTGGATGGAATGTGTCAGCACAATGCTTTGGTCAATTGGGAAAATTTGCATAATCTTCCCACATAAAATGACACTTGACACATTACCCATCGTGTTTTAAAGAAAGAGTATGGTTACCTTTTTTTTTTTTGTAATACCATGTGACGATGATCATGTTTGACATAGAATTAGGGCTCGCAGTAATATCAGCAGGCTGATTAAAATAAATGGTTTGTTAATAAGATGACTAATTTCTGTTTTGCAGATTAACAGAAAAGCATCTGTTTTATCTTCTTAGCTTTATTTCAGCCATAAAACATAAAAAAAACTGTCACAGTTCCATCAGTCATAATTTATGATCTTTACAGGGCACAATGTTCGGGGAGTTTCAGATTTAGAGCCTCATTTAAAAGAAGAAAAGGAAGAAAAGTGTGACAATCTTGCAATTATTACCGCTGTCTTTGCTGTTGTTCTTGTCTGAACAGCAATAGCAGGTGGTAAATGGAAGCTTTAGGTGGCTTTTTACAAGAGTTTTTTCAATATTATGTGAACATGACTCTGTGTGTTTATGAGTAATTTTAATATTAGTGTGGTTTTTTTATACAAACTTGAATTCAGACTGTATTTTGTTTAGTTTTTGTTTTTTACCTGGCTAGGTTTTTTTGGTCTTAAGGTGTGGAGAAATAACACAAACCTTTTTGCTACAATTTGCTCTGTGTGTGTGTGTGTGTGTGTGCGTGCGTGCGTGCGTGCGTGCGTGCGTATCAGGAGTGCAATGGAACGTCATTCTCATCAAGATTCTCCCCCTCTGAGACTGAAATCATTTATAGCCTGGGCAGGTTGCTTTGGGCCTTCACCATTTTTGTTGTTTGCTTGATGTTGGAAGTGGCTTAGCCTGAGGCTGTTCCAGTAGGTACATGCTTTAAATCCCTTTTTTAAACCACTGATTTATTGCTGATCCCGTTGTAGCTTGTATACTGTGATAATTTTGTTGCATACCTATTGTGAGGTCGACAACAAGGTAGATACATCACATACTTAACATTTTATTTCGGCCCCCTAAACTCCTGCTGTGAAAAAAGATGGTTGGGTAGCACCCAGTAATAATCATGCTATTTAGCATTAATAAGGTTTTATTATAGTATTAGCATCAACAACGTTAGCATAAAACCCACATAGATATATAAACTATAAACATTTAATATTGAAAACCCAGCTGCTAAATGTTCATGAAATTAGCTTGCTTTAAAGTAGCCAGGTCAAGATCATCATCAGCAATTGCAGGTTGAGAAATTTTTCTAACATTAATTTCACACTAAGCTGAAAATGATGATAAGCTGGTGTAGAATATACAATACCAAGACACTTACTTAGTCTGCAGTTGATTAGTTAATCAACTGTATTTGATCATCAGTAAGTTTGTGCACCTGTGTAAAAGGTTTTGTCAAATTGCTTTCAGGAGCATTTAGATGTGTGTCAATATAGTGTCACAATCTACCCAGGAGTGGATGTCACAGCAAGTTCACTCATAGGTCAGACTGTACGATGCTCAGACAAATCGCAAGTGCTAGGTCTCAGTTAGCATGTGAAACATTAAAGCTCCTGATAGTACATTTACAAAATGACTGAACAAGTATGGCTTGTTTGGCTGCCAGAGAAACTCTCTAAAACAAACCTGGCAACATGACTTAGCTTTGGAAACCACAACAATTCTATATAAATGTCGGCAAAAACACCTCATACCAACTGTCAAGCACAATGGTGGAGGGTCTGGACTTCTTTAAGTTGCTTGAAGACGTTTCACCTCTCATCCGAGAAGCTTCTCGGATGAGAGGTGAAACGTCTTCAAGCAACTTA